CCCCAAAACCCCAAAACCCCAAAACCCCAAAACCCCAAAACCCCAGTCTCAAAAAATACTATTGAATTATACATAAAATTAATGTTAAGTTTTCAAAGCTCTATTTGTTCCATTGGTTTCAGGATCAATCTCTTTTATTTTTGACTCACATGTTTTGGAATAAAGGGAGAAATCTATGCAGAAGTATCCGTAGATAAACGAGAATAGAACCGTTACTAAGCATACAATTTTACAAGCTGTAGAAAGTCAATAATGTGATGAAATAAAACTTGCAAATACTGGTCCAATAGTTTGGCCTAATTGCAATGCTGCATTAAAGGTTCCTGAAGAAAAGTCTGTTGCATAGGCTTTTTGCTCTGGAAATCTTGACTCTGATTCATTTATCATTACTGTTAGTAAAGATACCATTAGGCACATTCAGAATACTCCAACAATGAATTGTCCTATTATCATAACGGTCAGATTTCTTGGGATAGGAAAGACTGGGTCTATCAAAAGTTGGTCTCTACCATCAAAAAGAAGAGCGAAGGCAATGAACGCTCTCTGATCAAGCTTGACGATAAAATAAGGAACAAAGAGCATACTTCAGACAAGGTAGCCAGCAGAGGATGCAAGGAAAAATAAGGATACTTCAACGTCTGATAAACCAATTTCTCTGAGTTCGAGAGGAATTACAGGCATATAGTAAGAGTAAGTAATTAGGGTTAACACAACAGCTACCGCTGATAGAGAAAATATCCTGCTGTTGAACAACTGAGCATAACTCACCTTTACAGGTGGAGTATGTGGGCTTAGAGGAGAATCACTTCGAGGCTGACTAACTTCAAGAAGTGTTTCATCAGTCTCATTTAAGGAGTTCGGCAAATTAAAGTGCAATATTATGGAAAGACTAATTAGAATTCCACCAAGAGAGTAGAATGTAATATTGAAGCCAAAGAATGCATACAAGATACCACCAAATACTGGCCCAATAACACATCCTAGTCCCTGCGAAGTCTCGTAATAGCCCAAATATTTTTGCTTATTTTCTCGATAACAGATGGATATGATTGCATAAGAGGGTGTTTGAATCATGCTTGAAGAAAATCCTTGTATTGCTCTTGAGAAGATACAGCATCCAACAACAACAGTTGAGTTTTCAAGGTAACTTGCTGATGAGAATAGCACCATTCATAATCCCATTACTAGGCTCCCAACAGTCAGTGTGAGCTTTCTCCCTAGAAGACCCATAATTCTTCCGCTTATGATTGATCCAATCATCGAAGAAAACGGGTGCATCGAAAAGATAATCCCGAAAGTGGTTTCGCTGATATTAAATCGGCTGAACTCGAGTGGCAAAAAGGGCACCACAAGCATGAAAATCATGTTAGCTACAAGTGAAGCACTGAGCAGCAATATGTAATCTAGGGTGTCCATTTTTATTATATTTTGTACAAGAGATTTTTATTCCTAGGGGTTTTGGGGTTTTGGGGTTTTGGGGTTTTGGGGTTTTGGGGTTTTGGGG